GAAATAACACCACACATCTACAACCATCTGATCTTTGACAAACCTGACAAAAACAAGAAATGAGGAAAGGATTCCCTATTTAATAAATGGTGCTGGGAAAACTGGCTAGCCACATGTAGAAAGCTGAAACTGGATCCCTTCCTTACACCTTAAACAAAAATTAATTCAAGATGGATTAAAGACTTAAATGTAAGACCTAAAACCATAAAAACCCTAGAAGAAAACCTAGGCAATACCATTCAGGACATAGGCATGGGCAACGACTTCATGACTAAAACACCAAAGGCAATGGCAACAAAAGCCAAAATAGACAAATGGGGTCTAATTAAAGAGCTTCTGCAGAGCAAAAGAAATTACCATCAGAGTGAACAGGCAGCCTACAGAATGGGAGAAAATTTTTACAATCTACCCATCTGACAAAGGGCTTATACCCAGAATCTACAAAGAACTTAAACAAATTTACAAGAAAAAAACCCCATCAAAAGTAGGCAAAGGATATGCACAGACAGTTCTCAAAAGAAGCCATTTATGCAGCCAACAGACACATGAAAAAATGCTCATCATCACTGGTCATCAGAGAAATGCAAATCAAAACCACAATGAGATACTATCTCACACCAGTTAGAATGGCGATCATTAAAAAGTCAGGAAACAAAAGATGCTGGAGAGGAGGTGGAGAAATAGGAATGCTTTTACACTGTTGATGAGCATGTAAATTAGTTCAACCATTGTGGAAAACAGTGTGGCAGTTCCTCAAGGATCTAGAACTAGACATTCCATTTGACCCAGCGACCCCTTTACTGGGTATATACCCAGAGGATTATAAATTATGCTACTATAAAGACACATGCATACATACGTTTGTTGTGGCACTACTCATAATAGCAAAGACTTGGAACCAACCCAAATGTCCATCAGTGATAGACTGGATTAAGAAAATGTGGCACATATACATCATGGAATACTATGCAGCCATAAAGAAAGGATGAATTCATGTCCTTTGCAGGGACGTGGATGAAGCTGGAAACCATCATTCTCAGCAAACTATCACAAGGACAGAAAACCAAACACTGCATGTTCTCACTCACAGGTGGGAATTGAACAATGAGAACACTTGGACACAGGGTTGGGAAAATCACACACCGGGGCCTGTTGGAGGGTGAGGGTCTGGGGGAGGGATAGCATTAGGAGAAATACCTAATGTAAATGATGAGTTGATGGGTGCAGCAAACCAACATGGCACATGTATACCTATGTAATAAACATGCACGTTCTGCATATGTACCCTATAACTTATAATAAAAAAAGAAACATCTATTAAACAATTTTCATTAAAGCCTTAAAATCAAATCTTGACCATAGGTATTCAAAAGAAAGTCAGAAGTTAAATCAATTAAAAATTGTCAGTTGTATGTCATAGAGCAAATTAGAACAGGTGCAAAATTAATATCTTTGTATTATTAATTACCTAGGTATTCTAGCTTGCTTTGCATTGTTTTCATACTGTTATTTTTCCATGTACTTTCATGTACTTTTACATATCAATAATATTCATTAATGTAAAAAGTGCAAAAGAAAAAAAAATTTATTGATGCAAACAATGTTGACTGAAAGCTAGAGACAAAAGAGTACATTTAAACAGAGTTCAAAAATAGATTAAACTAACTCTAGGTGCACATACTGTGTTTTTCCATTTACATAACATCCAAATGCAGGTAAAACTAATTTTTAGTGACAGAAGTACAGATACTGGTTATTTGTGAAGGGTAAAGGGCATGGTGGCTGGAAGAGACCTAGGGGAATTTTAAACTGTTGGTAATATTTTGTTTCTTAATTTGGGTCTTTGTGAAAATCCTTTAAGCTGTAACTTGCAATGTGTGTATGTCATAGCTCCATAAAGATTTTATTTAAAATACTCATGAAGTTAGTTTAAATGAAAAATAACTATGAAACAAAAACTATTAAAATATATTTTTAGAAAAGTACTCAGAATTAAATTTTTTTCCATTTAAAATAGTAAAATTAATTTGTTTCTTCATTTCAAGAAATAGAATATTCTAGCATGTTTGCTTTAGATTATTCTAGCATGTTTGCTTTAGATTACTTAGTTTCAAATCAAATATTTTAAAAGTTTTTGTTTAATACCTAAAAATTATTTGTTATTTTGCTTTCACAAGTTATAACATTTCTAATACCATAGGGATTTAAATAAACAGAATATGTATTTGCACATCTGTGTCCCAGCATTAGGAAAACATTTGGCTAAAATTTAATCATTACAGCAAGCCTTATTCTATTCTATTTCTATAATAATTTTTTCTGTATTTGATATATACCAGGTTGTCATGCTGTGTATGTTCAACTTAATGTTTACAACAACCTCTGAAGTAGAAAGGAGATATTTCTGCTGCAAACGTGAAATAACCTAGCCAAGTTCACATAGTGACAAGGCAAAACTTTTAATATGCATCCTCTAAATATTCCAAGATTGTGTCCATTCTGCCTCAGACTTGGAAATGCTTTTCAGAGATGTTGTCTCTGAAATTTAACATATGTCAAAATAGACATGAAATTAATGCTCTAGGCCAGGCGCGGTGGCTCAAGCCTGTAATCCCAGCACTTTGGGAGGCCGAGATGGGCAGATCACGAGGTCAGGAGATCTAGACCATCCTGGCTAACCCGGTGAAACCTCGTCTCTACTAAAAAAATACAAAAAACTAGCCAGGCGAGATGGCAGGCGCCTGTAGTCCCAGCTACTCGGGAGGCTGAGGCAGGAGAATGGCGTAAACCCGGGAGGCGGAGCTTGCAGTGAGCTGAGATCCGGCTACTGCACTCCAGCCTGGGCCACAGAGCCAGACTCCGTCTCAAAAAAAAAAAAAAAAGAAAAGAAATTAATGCTCTAAGAATTGAGTGCTGGAATGCAGAGTATGTAGATACATTAATGATGCAAAATAATCCTGATAATACTGATACAAACTAATAAACTGATTATGCCATCCCTTATTTAAAATTATCTGGTGGCTTCCTTTCCGTAGCTACTTTGCTCTGCCCAACTTTGTAGTTTTGTATGTCCTGTGCCTAAAAGATCCTGCTTTCTTTACTTACCTATTACTTGCTTTCCAACACTAAGGTTTAACATCAGGTCTTTTCAAGATTACTAGTTGTTTGTTATCCAGCCCAGTCTTTCCTGATCTAGCTATCTCTCTTCCGTGGTTCCATAATACTTAATAAATCTATTTATAATTTTACTTATCTTCACACACTAACTCTTTTTCTTTTGAGACAGTTTTGCTCTTGTCACCCAGGCTGGAGTACAGTGGCGCAATCTTGGCTCACTGCAATCTCTGCTTCCTGTGTTCAAGTGATTCTCCTGCCTCAGCCTCCTGAGTAGCTGGGATTACAGGCACCCGCCACCATGCCTGGCTAATTTTTATATTTTTAGTAGAGATGGGGTTTCACCATATGGGCCAGGCTGGTCTTGAACTCCTGACCTTAGGTGATCCACCTGTGTCGGCCTCCCAAAATGCTGGGATTACAGGTGTGAGCCACTGCTCTGGGCCTAACACTACTAGTCTGAAGCAGAAGGCCTTGATTTTATTTTCTTGGTACCTAACACGTAAATGACAAATTTATGAATGTAAGGCTGGAAAGTAGAAATTAGAATCAGTTCAAGTAAATTCTTGAGTATGAGACTCAAGAATGTTTGCACTTTAGTTTGCTATATACTAATTAGCCACTAAAGGTTTTTGAGGATAATAAAACATTATATATACTATAGAATATTTTAAAAGGGGAAATATGAATATGGGGAAAACTGGCCAAGAAACTGTTGAAATAGTCTAATTGGTTAGTGATACAGTTTTGAGCTGAGGTGATGACACTTACAAAGGAAAAAATAGAGACGATGAACTAATTGACTTGGCAACTGGTTGGGTGCAGGTTAAAGAAGAAAATGGAATATACAGTTAGGGAAGGCCAATGGTACAGAAGGAAAGACAGATTTGCAAAACAATTTTCAGTCTCAGAGATAATACCTGCCATTTTTGTTTTCAGTGAATTACTTCAAATAATCTTGGGTAAGCTGTTCTGTTGCAGTCACATAGGATATAAAGTAACCTATAGGTTAATAAAGTATGATATTGGCCGGACGCAGTGGCTCACACCTGTAATCCCAGCACTTTGGGAGGCCAAGGCGGGCAGATCACTTGAGGACAGGATTTTGAGACCAGCCTGGCCAACATGATGAAACCCCGTCTGTACTAAAACTACAAATACCAGCTGGGCGTGGTGGCACGCACCTGTAGTCCCAGCTACTCGGGAGGCTGATGCATGAGAATCGCTGGAACCTGGGAAGCGGAGGTTGCAGTGAGTTGAGATCGCATCATTGCACTCCAGCCTGGGTGACAGAGTGAGACTCTGTCTCAAATAAATAAATAAATAAATAAATAAAGTATGATATTAGATACACTCTTCAAGTCAATACAGAAGAGCTATAACAGTAGTCATGGGCTAATCTGTGTGTTCCTCTACCTTTAATTATGAAATCATTTTTCAGTTAAACTTCCATAAAGTTTATATAAACATCAAAGCATTCTTATGCTTAAGAACTTGCTGACAACTCTAATTCTTATCAAATCAGTAGATTTTCTAGTGGTATCTGGTAGGTGGTCAAGCTGTTTGCATATAAAATCCAACCCTTTCCCCCACGCCCAAATCCCAGCTTTGCTTTTGAAGCAAATTTTTGACAGGAGAAGCTGTAGCCCTTTGCCACTGCCTTCATTCTTCACTCCATTATTTTGTTTTGGAGATTCTGGTGGAAAAGGATTGAAACTAATCTCACTTATTTATACTTAGTTAAACATAATTCCCTTTCTCCCAACTCTTCTAACTATGCTCATAAAACTTCAGAGAAATAAAAAGTAGCTCCTGGTAAAGAATTGGTTAAACACGTTTCAAGGTGTTAGAATGCATTTGGAAACTAAAAATTATCTTTCATTTAGTATGATCCAGAGCTATCATCTCGACAATTTGGGGTTGAACTGTCCCGTTTGACCAGCGAAGACCGAACTGTTCCTTTAGTGGTGGAAAAGCTCATAAACTACATTGAAATGCATGGACTGTATACAGAAGGTATTTATCGAAAGTCTGGTTCGACCAATAAAATCAAGGAGCTTCGACAGGGTCTAGATACAGGTAAGATAGTGCCCTCTAAATCATAATGAAATACTTTATTTAAATAGGTCATTTCATGCTCTTCAAGTTTTCATTACATGTCGATCCTTTCCTTAGCAGCCGGAAGAATGCGTTCTTTTCTGTGGCGCTTTGTTATCATTTTTTGGTTTTCTAAAGAGTCTTTGGTTTCATTTGGTCAATTCAGCAGACATATATTGAGCATATAATTTGTACTTGGGGCAGATGTCATTTAATTTTTGTAATAATTCAGTAAGATTGTGATACCTCTGACAAAGAAGAAAACTAAGGTACAGGGAAATTAAATAATGAGCTGCTGATGATGATGCAAGGTGCTGTACTAATGTTTTTATAATATTCACAACAATCCTATGAATTAGGGATATTATTATCCCCATTTACAGAAAAAAGGAACTGAGGCTTACAGAGGATCTTGCCCAAAGACTCATCACCAATAAGTGACCAAATTGGAGTTAACCCCAGATCTTCTGAATTCGTAATGTTTCCCCTTTCTCTTTATGATTCTGACTCCAAGGGGTACTCTTTCTTTTTTTTTTTTTTTTTTTTTTTTTTGAGACGGAGTCTCGCTCTGTCACCCAGGCTGGAGTGCAGTGGCCGGATCTCAGCTCACTGCAAGCTCCGCCTCCCGGGTTCACGCCATTCTCCTGCCTCAGCCTCCTGAGTAGCTGGGACTACAGGCGCCTGCCACCTCGCCCGGCTAAGTTTTTGTATTTTTAGTAGAGACGGGGTTTCACTGTGTTACCCAGGATGGTCTCGATCTCCTGACCTCGTGATCCGCCCGTCTCGGCCTCCCAAAGTGCTGGGATTACAGGCTTGAGCCACCGCGCCCAGCCGGGTACTCTTTCCTGTGTATCATCTTGCCTGCCTACGTTGATGACAGTTACTCAAACTGATAGTGAGTTGAGCATGTATCTTTGTAGAGCTGTAGTTTTAGTACTGGAATTCATGCTGGGGATTGACTTTAGTTTCATTCTCAATTTCTACACTTTATCACTGTTGGGAAGGAATAGATCTTTTTGAACCAAACAGAGTACAAAGTGTGTCCTTGTGTGGCCAAGAACCTGTGTACAGTGCTGTTTCTTATGAACAAATCAATGAGAAATGAGTATGAAAATAGTAACAATGTCTGGTAAGACTCCGTCTTACCAGTTCCGTCTACAAGAAGGTTCCGTCTACAAGAGACTTGGTCTACTTTAGTTTACAGGCAGTTACTGACTTTGTCTCTGATACCTTGAAATAGCACAAGTGAAAATCAGTCATCCCAAATCTTCGCAGTCATCTAATCTGTATAACCTTAGGGAGTTTATAAGTGAAATGGGTAAACGTGTTTTCTTTACATTTTCTAAGCTCAATTATCACTGTCCTTTTATCTCTAAGAATTACTTAAAATCAGCCTTACTTTCAGAAAATGTCCTGTATGTGTTTTTTCATTTGTCATGTAAAACATTGCTACTCAAAGTGTGGTCTGAGGACAAAGCCATAGTAAGAGAAATACAGAAATTGAGAGCAAGCATGTAGAGACGTTTATAGCAGTTTAACAATACTTCAGCATCAAAATATTTTATTTATTTATTTATTTATTTAGAGACAGTTGCTCTGTTGCCCAGGCTGTAGTACAATGGTGCAACCTTGGCTCACTGCAACCTCTGTCTCCCGGGTTCAGGCAATTCTGCCTCAGCCTCCCAAGTAGCTGGGATTACAGGCGTGTGCCACCACACCCAGCTAATTTTTATATTTTTAGTAGAGACAGCTTTCACCATGTTGGCCAGGCTGCTTTCTGTCTCCTGACCTCAAGTGATCTGCCCATCTCAGCCTCCCAAAGTGCTGGGATTACAGGCATGAGCCACCGTGCCTGGCCATGATCTTTTATTTTACGCACTTCACTCCACAACAGATTTAGAAAACAAATCAACAAGACGTATTCTTTCACAACAGTTAGAAGCACAGTTCCAAAGCATGGAATTACATTGTGGAAAACAGGTTAGTCAGTTTGATTAAGAAACATGAAGCCGGCCAGGCATGGTGGCTCACTCCTGTAATCCCTCCACTTTGGGAGGCCGAGGCAGGTGGATCACATGAGGTTGGGAGTTTGAGACCAGCCTGACCAACATGGAGAAACCCCAGCTCTACTAAAAATACAAAATTAGCCAGGCGTGGCAGCACATGCCTGTAATCCCAACTACTTGGGAGGCTGAGGCAGGAGAATCACTTGAACTTGGGAGGCAGAGGTGGTGAGCCAAGATCACAACATTGCACTCCAGCCTGGACAACAAGAGCGAAACTCCATCTCAAAAAAAAAAGAAACATGAAGCCTTCCTTTAATGATGATAGTTTGTAAAGTGAATTATTTTAATCTCTTTGCATGTTTTGGCTTTGTTAATCTAACTCTTGTCTCTAAATAGATGCTGAGAATGTAAATCTAGATGACTATAACATACACGTCATTGCAAGTGTATTCAAACAATGGCTTCGAGATTTGCCCAATCCTCTCATGACCTTTGAACTCTATGAGGAATTTCTTCGAGCTATGGGTAAGCATAGGCTTCCTGGGTTAGAGAGAAGGCCTGTAGTTGGGAAAGAAATGCCACCTTCAAGCCGTCCTTTAGTGGTTTAATTATTATAGATCTAAAGGTAAACTTTTGACAGTGAATACAAAACTGCCAGTATACTGTCACCTATTCATATGTTGACTTTTTAGAGACTCATCAAAATGTTAGTGTCCTAAAAATGTTCTGAGTGAGCCACTTGGTTGCTTCTTACAAAGAAATTGAAAGACTGGGGTTATAAAACAGATTAAAATATTAAAAATAAGAGTTTTAAGATTAGGCTTATGTTCATTTAAATTGGAAATCTAGGCAAGAACTATGTGTAAAGCTGGCTGTTTTATGCCAAGCCTAACAGGTTTCAGAGTGTAGTTTCTCAGTGCTATAGGTGCATAGGATATTCATAAAGGCCTTTCTAGAGGCATTTAGGCCCTGAGGATTCATAAATTATGTTGAATTTAATGAGAAATCAATCTGCTACACAATGACTGAAAAACTAGAACATCTCTTTCCCCTTGCTGTTATTAAGGATACTGTGATACAGGTTCAAACTAAGGAGACTGTTTATGAATACAGAACTCAAGCTAAAGGAGTTAAATAGTTAGCTTGAGTTGCTCTTCTCCAGCCTTACAGGTACAACTACTCCTGAAACTCTATAGCCAGCCTCCTTTGCTTCATAGTGTCTGGGAGGAAGATACACTGTATAAGAGGGGATATTTAGTCTTAGTTTCTGCTCTTAATGTTTTTAGGCCTTCAGGAGAGGAAGGAGACAATCCGTGGTGTATACTCTGTGATTGATCAACTCTCCCGAACTCATCTCAATACACTGGAACGCCTCATCTTTCATCTAGTCAGGTAACTTTAAGAAGCAAGGAAACGATTTTTGATAGTTTCTCTTGGATTATTTTACATAGATAAGGAATTTCTCCTTTGGAAAACTGACAGGTATTTATATTTTTTCTTCTATTTATAAAGTCAGTGTCTCAAACAGGTGGTTAGGATACCTTGGAGCAGAAATCTTCAGCTGAGCTGGAATGCATGGCAGTTGCTTTTCTGCCCTTGTTTGAACCATGTAGCAGCTTCAGCCTCATGGTGGCACTGTGTAGTTTAGCCTGTTTTCTAACAGCTGAACTAGAAAGGATATATAATCTACTGAAATGACCTAATTCATATGAGGGGTTCAGATCGTTCTCAGAAATTAACTGACCAAAGAGGTGTCAGGAGTAGTGTCTCTTCCCCTGTATGTAAATATCAGCAGTAGTTGAGAAGAAAGCCATCTTTATTTGTGGTTAAAGCTTCTACTCTGCATTCTTTTTTGTTGTTGTTGTTGTTGTGGAGACACAGTTTCACTCTGTCACCCAGGCAGGCTGGAGTGCAGTCTCAGCTCACTGCAACCTCCGCCTCCCCAATTCAAGTGATTCTCCTGCCTCAGCCCCCTACATAGCTGGGATTACAGGCGTGCGCCACCACACCTGGCTAATTTTTGTATTGTTAATGGAGACAAGGTTTTGCCATGTTGGCCAAGCTTGTCTCAAACTCCTGACCTCAAGTAATCTGCCCACATCGGCCTCCCAAAATGCTGGATTACAAGTGTGGGCCACCATGCCTGGCTGATTCTGCATTCTTTGGACTTCAGTTCATCTAGTGATCTTGGCCTGGAGCAGGTAGGTCCCAGATTTCCCTTGGGAAGCTATCGGCTGACCTAGACTGCTTCAAGGAAAGAACAAGTGAAAATACATTTTCCAGAGACAAAGGAACAACTTGGGAAAAGTCTGCAGACACTGAAACTTACTAGAAGTACTTATATCCTTCTAGTACTATGCAGTTCATGTCATACTGTCTTCTTTTGCTCATCTCTTCTGCCTTTTCCCTATGGTGCTCCCTTTTTATCCCTTAGTCACTTGTTTTTTGTTTTGTTTTATTTCTTAGGATTGCTCTACAGGAAGACACTAATCGAATGTCTGCTAATGCTTTGGCCATTGTGTTTGCGCCCTGCATTCTCCGCTGCCCTGACACCACTGACCCACTACAAAGCGTACAGGACATCAGTAAGACTACCACGTAAGGCCAGTTACCATAACCTCTACAAGACCTCAGGGACTTCTGACTACGTAGTCACTGTATCCAGATATCAGACATAGTGAATGGGTTCATAAATTCAGGTGTTTTTAAGAAGATTGTTGGACACTGCTGGGTTTTCTTATGCTGAGGATGCAAACTCCTGGATTCAACTGAGCATCATTTGTCTTAAAGCGTCTTATTTTTTAAATCTGGCTTTTCTTTAGGACTGCTTATAGTTTCTAAATAGGTTTTAGATTTCCATTTTACCAAATTATGAACACTTAGTATCTTCCTGTAATCTAGCCTAACTGTGGTCTTATGGCTCTGAATCCTTTGGTCTTAATACTTCAGTATTCTTGTATTTCACCTTGGTCTTTTTTCTTGGGGCTCTGCTTTCCTTCTAATGTGGTTTTCTTTTGCTCTCCTTAATCTTGACTGCAAAAGGAACTTTAAAAAAATATGTCACTGTTTGGATCCCATCCCCATAGAGTCTGATTTAATTGGTTTAGGGTATAGCCTGGGCATTGGGATTTGTAACTGCTCTTTATTTTTTATTATTTTTTATTTTTTTATTTTTTTTGAGATGGAGTTTTGCTCTTGTCGCCTAAGCTGGAGTGCAATGGCACGATCTTGGCTCACTGCAACCTCCACCTCCCAGGTTCAAGTGATTCTCCTGCCTCAGCCTCCCAAGTAGCTGGGATTATAGGCATGCAACACCACGCCTGGCTAATTTAGTATTTTTAGTAGAGACAGAATTTCACCATGTTGGCCAGGTTGGTCTCAAACTCCTGACCTCAGGTGATCCACCTGCCTCTGCCCCGCAAAGTGCTGGGATTACAGGCGTGAACCACTGTGCCCGGCCGTAACTGCTCTTTAGGTGGCTTCTAAAGTGCAGCCAAAGTTGTGAACCACCATTCTAAACCTTGTCTCTGAGTTTGTGAAGCAAGGGATGTTAATTTTTTCCTTCATCTTTCAACTGTCTAAAACAAAAACAGTCTGTGAGTGCTATACTTTATTTATTTACATTCTTAACAGTTTTTTCTCTTTCCTCCTGTTTCAGTTGTGTGGAGCTAATCGTTGTGGAACAAATGAATAAATACAAGGCTCGTCTCAAAGATATCAGTAGCTTGGAATTTGCTGAGAATAAGGCAAAGACCAGGTTGTCACTGATTCGTCGATCAATGGTAAGATGCAAGACATGAAATAATGGAAAAATGGGAGTTGTCTTGGGAATTTAATTGTGCATTTGTGGTGTATACAAGGATTATTATCAGAATCTTTTTTATAAAACAACAAGTAAAAAGTCACCAAATCTCGGGGTGCTATGGCTTCCTCATGTTTAATCTGCTCTTTAGTTACATTATAGAATCTATGTCAATAAGTGTGTAGCATTTTTCAAATCAAGTATTTAGATAAAATGCTGGTGTCTTAATAATCTGCCCTGCTTTCTTTTCATGTCCTTTCTATGAAAACGTAGTCCTTTTCTAACTTTTTTCCCTACTTCCTTCCACTGTCTGTTCCCAGCTTTAATCGTGTCACTTTTGGTAGTCCTGCCAAGACTCCTGGGATGTAGAGAATTTAATCATTTGTAACTGAATTTAAATGGAATCATTTGATTCTTAAGTAAATGGAATTCCATCTGTGAGTCTACTGTAATGAAAAAATATTTCTTTGAGTTTAAGGTTAGGTTTTGAGACAGTCCTTGTAAAACTGATAATTTATTTCCTTGGTTTGCCCACTTTTTAATATCTTCCTTTGCAACCAGTAACATATAACTCCAGTTCTCAGTGATCACTAATCAATAGCATCAGCCCTATTGATTAGTGCTTATTGAGAACTGGAGTTATCCATATATATTACTCTGAAGTCAGTTTTCAGGATAACTGGAAAACTGCTGCATTAAGGTTTAGTTATTGCCCATTTGCTACCCTTCCTCTCAGTTGTGAAATAAAATTGTGACAATGAGCACGCATTTCAGATTCCCGGTAAATCTCTAAAGAGAAGGAGGCTTCATCATGCCCTCATTCTTTCAGGGGTCCAGCAGTACTTCCTCCCATATCTTCACAGTTTGCATTTAGATTAGCACTAAAACAATTCTTTTTTCTTCCTTTACTATTTAATCTGCCTGGCACTGAATAAGTGCTTAACAAAGGTCTGTTGATTAAGGTATTGAAGGGTCTTCTGTAAAAACAAACATAAGCATGGACTTTTTGCAGGCAGTAAAGATATTAAATAAAACTCATCATAGGATACTATCTAAATCTTTTCCCCAGAAATTAAAAACAGAAATCCCACTTAAAAGTGAAACATTTCTGTAGTATGAATTTTCAGGAGCTCAGTTCTGAGAGGCCCAATGTAGTGGTGGCTATCCAGGCAGGAAGGGAAGAGCCTTTTGCTATAAACCTACTTTTCAAAGCAGATAGATAAGCTGTGCTTTTTTCCCGTGTTGCAGAAGATGGATATTCAGTCCATTGCAAGATTAAACCTTCTCTTTTAATGGGGCAATGACATGTACATTCTAACCTTCTGCTTTCCTTTTCATGTCCTTCCTAATCCAGAAACCTGTACTAATTGCAGTTAGATTCATGAACATTACCCGCAATTCAGTCTCGGTATGTATTAATAATGCAATGTGTCACAGCCACTCTACATTATTGTCTTTCATTCATCCAGGAATTGTTCCGCTCTGTCTATCATTCATGCCTGTCCACCCTCCATGTTTGGCCCCAAGTCAGGTTCTACTTTTTGATGAGCTTTCACTTACTTTTCTCTTAATCTCTTTTTTTTAGATCCTTCATTTTCCTTCCTCTGTATTGTGTAGTTGAACAGCATCCATTTAAAATATATTGGTTTCTCCTCTTTGTCAGATGAGCCTCCTTTTGGGTTTCTTCTTTGGTTGAATCATTAAAAGGTGAAAGTTAAAAGCATTGAGATATCAAATTAATAGAAATTAATTTGAGCTGTGTTCCCAGCAATCTTCTCTACTTTATTATTTGAAATACTTATTACTTTCAGCATCTCCTATCATTAGTAATGCTTATTTGTCCATTCATATCTGTCTAACTCTGATGGTGTCCTCCCAGATGTAGAAATATGGTTCTTATCCACTTAGCATTTATCAAACAGAGCTACAAATAGGAGTGAACTAATCCAAATTGGTGGACTAGTTCTAGACTTAAATATTATGGTATGCTAGAACTCATACCAGGATCTCATTACTGGTATCCCTCTTCAGTTCCATTGATTATACAAAAAAGGAATGGGATAGAAGGCTGAGAACACCAATCTGTGTGGAAAACTGTCCACCTGTGTGTAACCATTTTATTGAGGAGGCTTAACTTGTTGAGGTACTAATATAAATCAGTTTTTCTTTTTGTCTATAACTGTCTCTCAACTCCAGCCTGTCCAACTTCCCTTTCCCACTGGATGTCAATTACCTTAACAGCATCTTGAAACCAATTCTATAATTTTCAAAAATTCATTTCATTCTAGTATTTAAGAGTCAGTTCTCTTAATATTAAAACTTCAGTCAGTTTTAAATCCAGTGCTCGTCTCACTTCCTCCCAGGGCAGACTAGACCTTTACCTGGAACTTAAAACTTTGGGGGTAGGTGGGTAATTTCTGTTTGTCAGACTCTTCTGCCCTTCGTCTTTCTTGACCCTTTCTCCCCTGATGTTGAGACTAGGAGGAGTGATAGGGGAGGCAGAATTCTGTATGATATCCCGGTATTGAGATGGCAGTCCACTTTCTTTGTTGTTCAACACTGCTGTTCTGGCTCATTGTCAGTAGGCTAAGTAAAGATAAGTAGTAGCTCCAGTTTACCCCTGTTGAGTCAAGATGAACTCAGATCTATCCCATTTCTGTAGGCACTGATAGTCCCTTGCAAGATTTGGTTACATCTTCTGGCTAAACCCTGGGTGTTGGCATTCACACCATATGGGAAGCTGTCAAAATCACAGGGCAGTTACAAGTTTTCCAAAATTCTAATATTTATTTGAAAGCTCGAAATTTACTCACTGACAACAAATGTCGCCATTTGTTTCACTTGCAGTAACAGATTCCCTTCATACAATTTCAAAGAAAATGTGTACCACTTAAGAAGAATAATCAAACTTTGTCAATTATTATAAATACTGTTTCATTAATAAAGCAGCTAATTTTGCTTGCAATTCAAAGAATTGCACAAATACTCTTTGTTGAGGTAACCATCAGTATGTGACAGAATGGCTGTATGTGTAATTTCCAGTTAATCATACAGAAAATTGAAAATAGGTAATTTAGCAGTTAAGAAGTAATAAAATTAATTTATACGTCTTGGTCAATGACATGAAATGAAACTGATTTTTTAAAAACTAAATGTGTGGTAGCAAAAGAACATGAAGACTGCTAGAACCGTTTGGTATCATTACCTTGATTCATGTAAAGGTGACAGCAGTTGAACCCACAATTGCTTTTATGTAATTAGCACAGATGTCAACAAGTTAAAATGGCAAATAGCCTCTTAGTATAATTATGAAAATAATTTTAACATTGTAGACCCTTTGAAATGGTTTTGAGGACATCATTACACCCCAGCATCTTTGCTGGGGTTCTGTGGGGCTACACTCTGAGAACCACTGCACTGTATTACATATAATACTACCGGCTCACTGCACTTCACAGAAATATTTGTTGAGAATAATTCCTTTTCATATGCAAGATATAAATACATACAAACAGATACTAGCTGTGTTTAAAGTGCTTACTAACCCTGATTATCTGGTGAACCGTAACTACAGGCAGTGGGATATGATTTTTGAACAAGCTTGGATACCTAATTATAACACCACACAAAACAACCAGTCTTTTCCAAAAAAGCCTTGGATAAAGGATCTCTCCTTACCAGGAAAGCAAATTCCTCAGGAAGTAGTCTGATAATTCATTTCCTTCCTATTTTTGTGACTTAACAAGACACTCAACAGGGATCGTCCATCTTGCCCTGAAGTGCTATTTTTAAGTAAAATTTCATTAGGGTTCTGAGATTTGTGTTTTAGCTAGCTATATATTTTTCTGTCTAGATGATGCACAGTTCCTCCTCCTCACACATTTAACCCATAGACAAACCCTAGTAACATGTACTTTCTTTGGGTCTTAAAGTATCGTGACTTTCTGCATGAGGGTAATATATGTCTTTTTCTAAACAGTCATCAGGTTTATTAAAGGCAATGCAATTCATTCTTTCATTATCACCATGAGTCTCTTTTACTGTTTAGGCTTACTTCGATTTATAGTATTTAATTTCTTTGTGCCCATCAGTCATGCCTTGCCATTCCTTCTTGCATTCTTTTGCTATCATGAGCCTTACAGAATTTTCAGAAGAAATCAAAACTCTCCTCATAGGCCTTATTCATCCTAACACTATGGCATATCTTCTATTTGTCTCCATGGTTATCTTCTTAAGTCTTAGGAGAAAATGAAAAAGTGAGTTTCAACTGATTCCCTCAAATAGGGATCCTGTTTCCCTCAAATAGGTATCACTGAGATCCCCCACATTAGAGCATTTGACTCTCAATATTTGTGTTACAGTCTAAGAAGCCCATAATGGACTGGTCTCACAGAATTCTAACCCAAATTAAATAATTAAGACTGTCTGTTTCAGAATATCATTCTTAGAAAAAATAGACAATAGAATTATATACAGACTTCCTTAGACAGAGCATGGCAAATCTATATGATTAGGCGGTTGAATCTGTGGGTATTAGAAAGCATGTCCCAAAAGGAAGGAGGGAGAGATGGATCAGACGGTACTGTGTGCCAAATATGGTGAAAATACCAAGGAAGAAGTACTTAATTCTGCCTGGTGGCACAGGGTAAGGCTGTAGAAGGGAAGCTAGCTCTTAAGGTATGAGTTTAAATTAATCAGATGGAGAAAGACCTACCAGTTAGTATAAGTCAACAAGGTTTAATTCTGTAAAAGGCTATGTAGCTTGCATATAAACTTGTATATGTAATTGTGCAGAAGGGAAACCTTAAGTTAAAACCAAAATAGGCTTTGTTTTGAAGCAAACTCTAAAACATTAGTACTATGGGGCATTGAAGAGTGAGCCAGGACTCACAAGGTCTCAGAGTTTAGTACTTAATGTAAATTTTGGTGCTTTATATCTTATATTTATGATAGGGAATGGGAACTAATGTTAGCTACTATTTTTTAGCCATAAAAACAATTTCCTCCTGGGTCATCTTCAAAGTTCTCAGTAAGAACGGCTGAAAAGGGGCCGGGAGTGATAGCTCCCAGAACTTTGGGAGACTGAGGCTAGTGGATCACTTGAGTTCAAGACCAGCCTGGGCAACACGGTGAAACCCCATATCTACCAAAAATACAAAAAAAATTAGCCAGATGTAGTGGTGCATGCCTATGGTCCCAGATACTTGGAAGGCTGCGGTGGGAGGATCGCTTGAGCGCAAGAAGCAGAGGTTGCAGTGAGCCAACATAGCACCACTGCACGCCAGCCTGAGTGACAGAGCGAGACCCTGTCTTAAAAAACAAAAACAGACGAAATAGCTGAAAAGAATCCTAAGACTATTTTATTTTGTTTTATTTTTATTTTTTATTTTATTTTTTATTTTATTTCAGAGTGTTGCTGTTGTCAGCCTGGGCTGGAGTGCAATGGCACAATCTCGGCTCACTGCAACCTCTGCCTCCCCAGTTCTAGCAGTTGTCCTGCCTCAGCTTCCCAAATAGCTGAGATTATAGGTGCCCCCCACCACGCCCTAATTTTTGTATTTTTAGTAGAGACGGGGTTTCACCATGTTGACCAGGCTGGTCTCAAACTCCTGACCTCAGGTGATCACCCACCTCGGCCTCCCAAAGTGCTGGGATTACAGGCATGAGCCACCACACCCGGCCAAACAGACTAATTTAAAAAGAAGAAGAGATAGCAGAGTTGTCTAAGAACTTCCTCTCATAAAAACACCAGATATAAATAGTTTCACAAAGAAAAGGTACCAACTCTTTAAATACATAATTACATAATTAAATACATAATTATAAATATATAATTTAAGCTGCCTCAGAGTAGAGAGGGGAAAAGGTCTTTTTTAACTAAAAGAGTCTAACACTGATCCTCACCACCCCGCCCTCACACACACGCATACACAAAGAAAAAACCAATAAAAATTGCATATAGAAATATTAAAAGCAGCAGAGCACAGCATGGACTCTGGACTAGACTTTTGGGTGTAAATCCTAGCTCTAATTTACTAGTAGTTGTGACATGGCAAATTATTTAATCTCCATGCCTCAGTGTTCTTATCTATAAATTGGTTAATAGTACCAAACTTAGGATTAAATGAGTTGATTTTTTGTTTGTGTTTTAATTGAGACAGAGTCTCACTCTGTCACCCACGCTGGAGGGCAGTGGCACAATCTTGGCTCACTGCAACCTCTGCTTCCTGGGTTCAAGCGATTCTCATGCCTCAGCCTCCCGAGTAGCTGGGACTACAGATATGCACTACCACACCTGGCTAATTTTTGTATTTATTTTTAGTAGAATCGGGGTTTTGCCATGTTGGCCAGGCTGGTCTCGAACTCCTGACCTCAGGTGATCTGCCCTCCTCGGCCTCCCAAAGTGGT